AGGAGAAAGTATGTTCCCAGCTTGTCCCCTCTTCTTTCCTACTCTACTCCCTTCATGCCTTAGGTTGTCCTTCCCATCTTTCTCCTGGGAGATTTATTTCTGTCCCCTTTTCCATCTGAAGCAGCGGAAATGAATCTTCTTTTGACATGTTTAGTAAACAGCCTTCTGATCCCTGCTGGGCTCTCTCTCTGGTTCCTCTGTGGCCACTCCTAGGCTAGGCCTCGCCCCCTGAGGAAAGACCCCTCAGGGCTGGTTATTCTTGGTACTGTCTCTGCCGCCATCCGTCAGACACAACATCTTGACCTCCTCCCCCTCCTCTCTGGGGCGATGGGAAATGACACACAGCATTCCAAATGACAGTCCCCTGAAGCTGGTCAGAGAAGTGGTGTAAGCAGGGAAGTCACAGTGTTTTGGTATGCGTTTGCTTTCATTTGATTATGGTAAAATATATATAACAGAAAATTTGCCGTTCTAATCATTTTTAAATGTACTACCCTGTGATGTTAATTATTCCCCGTATTGTGCTACCATCATGCATTTTCAAAAGTTTTACGTCACCCCAAACAGAAACTCAGTACTCCTTCAACGATAACTCCTTCTCTCCCCCTCTGCTTCCACCCCTAGTAGTCACTAAACTTTCATCCCAATGGACTTGCCTATTCTAGATATTTCATATAAATGGACTCATACAATATTTGTGTTTTTGTGTCTGACTTACTTCATTCACCATAATGTTTTCAAGGTTTATCCATGCTATAGCACATATCAGAATTTCATTTTTCTTCATGACTGAATAATCTTCTATTGTACGTATATACCTCCTTTTGTTTCTCCATTCTCTGTTGATAGACATTTGAGTTGTTTCCACCTTTTGGCTATTGTGCAATGAACATTGGTGTACACTCTGTGTTCGAGTCCCTGCTTTTAAGTTTCTTGGTATACCTAGAAGTGGAATTGTTGGATCACATGGCAATTATTTGTTTAAATTTTGAGGCACCACCAAACTGTTTTCCACAGTGGCTGGACCATTTTACCTACCAGCAATGTATGAGGGAGCTACCTTTTTTGAGGATTTTTGTGTACCATGTGCTGTGCCTGTCACATCTCAATAGTCATATTAGTGGGTCTTACAATCCACATTTTACAGATGAGGAGGCCAAAGCTCAGAAAGGTGAAGGAAGTTACCAAAGGTCACACAGCTAGAAATCACAGCCAAAATTCAAAGCCAGTTCTTGGATTCATTCTACAATAGTTGACATTATGTTGATGTGTTTGTGTGTGTGTATATGTGAGTTGAATTGGGGATATGGGCAGGTCAGTTGGAATGCTAGTTGCAATCCATGTGTCCTGAGAATGGAAACATACATCCATGGGCATTAAGTCATATGCATAAGGATAGATTGGTGTTTTCCTACAGAGCAGATGGCAAGTATATAAAGTGTGTACTCTAGGAGCTCTGGTAGCATAATGCCTAAGGCACTTGACAGATAATCAGAAGGCTGG